TATAATTAAATATAAATTTATTTTTTATATTTTGCACCCTTAGAAACGAGAAGACCTGAGAAAACATATTATGTAATTTCCCTAATGGAAGATATCTACTTTATTAGGGCATTGCAGATTCGTTATTATGTCAGCGATTGGCCATCTCTACAGTTCTTCCAAAAATTCCTATAAATAGCCTGAATCTCAGTAAATAGTCTAACAGAAACGCGCGACGATGAAGAATACATCCACGATTCTACTGGCTGCTGCTCTCTGTGTGCTGGCCTTTGTGGGCAGCGCCCGGGCGGATTGTTGTCGGCGTACAAAGAACGTCTCGTTTACCGTGGAGTCGGGTCGCTGCAAAGATGTTGGTGGGGTCAACAGCAGCATCTCGACATGCACGATTACCATTTGTGCCGATGGCACGCGTCTCATTGGCAGCTACTGTGGCCACAATTCCTGCAATCTCTTCGGCTGCAACTGCGAAGGCGGCTGCCGGAAAGGCAAATGGGAGAAGAATTTCATCGAAAGACATCCAAAATACAAAATTCGAATTTTGAGCAGCAAGTGGAATTGAATACATTGTAAAATACATAAGTGCTATGAGAAACCGTATACATAAATATTTATTTAATTTATTTCTTAATTTTTATGATGATATTAATGTATAAATAAAGGCCAATCTGTTTTGATTTCGGCATATTTTAAGGACTATTTAAACATATATTCCAATCAGTGACTTGTATAATAATACAAGTGAATCGGATTGAATGTCTGTTGATATTAAGACCAAAGCACAGCGCCTTATGTCGGGAGTGCCCAACTGGAAAAAAAACTAGCTCTAAATAACAAGCTCGTTGACTATGAATTAAATTTAATCAGTTGTTTTAAACTAATTTAGTCTGCTCGTGCAATAGACTAACCTTCTTATTCAACAATTTAATCTCTAACTCTTGTAGATTCCAAGATCGAAGCAAAACATCTGATAGACTGTCAATCCACTCGACTGTTGCGCCTGATTAATATTCAATATTTTAGCTCATTAAACTTAAATGAAGTCGGTCATACTCTCTTCCGCATATATGTATATAAGTACATTTAAAGCAAATGTATGACCTGATTTCGCATTTCAATTGTTTCAGCGCAAGAACAACCCGATCCATAAGTTTTACAGACCTCCTGAAATTCCTAATAAATATTGTGCTAAGATGACTAATACAACGATTTTACTGGTCGCTGGCTGTGTGTATGCCTTTGCTAACATAAGTTAACACTAGACGGCCAACAGATTATTCGATAAGACTAAGGTTCTTCGCTTAGTTAGCCACGCCGTTCTATCTATAAAACAGACTTTAAAATGCACTCGTCTTTTCAATGGGTTCAGGGAATAATAAAATCATTATACTTGGATTTACCGATTTCAATGGGTTGGAATACAAAAATACAATTCAATGGGCGCTATGTTAATTGTTTAAAATGCACATGGCCTTATCGCAATTTCTCAAAAATTTCCTATAAATAGCCAGCAGCTGATTTAACTTTTAACTAGAATCGTAGAACCGCTAACATGAGGACTACAACCATACTATTGGCTCTCGCCCTCGCCCTGGCCTATGTGGGCTGCGCTCAGGCGCAATGCTGCCGCCGATCGATGGCACTCACCTATACTGTGGGCCGAGGCAGCTGCGGCGATGCTGGTGGTCGTGTTGGCAGAGGTGGAACCTGTTCGATCGTCATTTGTGCACATGGAAAGCGCAAAGTAGGCACCTATTGCGGCCGTCGATCCTGCAATATTTTCGGTTGCAATTGCGGCGGTGGCTGCATCGAAGGCCAATGGCAGCGGAGTTTCATTAACAACAATAGAAACCAAAACATTCGAATTACAAACACTAGATGGATAAATTAAACTGGGAAAATCTACAGCAGCTATTCGTCTCATTGAAAGAAACATGCAAGCACAAAAATCGTATGAATAAAGCAGATGCCTCAGTTTATTAATACAAAAATCTATATTCTTTATTTGCTAAATAGTTTCGTGAAAGAGTTTGTAGAAGGCCAAAGGCAGTGCAACCAATTAAAATATCTCAAATCGAAACGACTTTTTAAAAAACAATGCTGAAACAACAGTCTAACATCAATCAATCAATCAATCAATCAATCATCCGTTCTGAGTTAGTTAAATGTTTTTCCTAAAAACGAGATTTAGGCAAGAGAACCCATGAAGATAAAAGATTTTACTCCAATATATGAATATATAATGCACTTTTTGTTGAAAGGGATAAACTCACGTGAGAATGCACTTTCTGTTGAAAGGGATAATCTCACGTGATTTATTGGAGTTTTCCACAATATCCTCCAAGTATTTCTTCTAAGTAATTAATCTAAGGTTTTTTGCTAAATATTTTTTTGATAAATATTTGCCCTAAGTGTTTTCTTTAAGTCTTTAATGCTTAGCTGAACGATTACACACTTCACTTTACATCACTGCACTGCATGACTGACCCCCGACTGAATAAATGCTGCAGCTGCCGCCCTCCCGACTTTCACTCAGAGCCTAAATTGCGCTCAAATTTTCAGCCCGACGTCAGGTAGATATCGTTGCAGTGGAGCCTTAAGTAACCAATGGAAAGACTCTCTGCTGCTGCAATCTAGCTTCGGTTTTCTCAAATATAAATACTAAATTAATACTGCTGCAAACAATAATGATCTTCTTCATCTTTTGTGTTAGGCTGTCAGACAGATAGAGTTAGACGGCGGGACAGATATAAATTTAAGGCTAAATGCTGATATGCTGAATTGCTTATGTACATAAATATTTATTATTACATATTATATTATATCTATTATTACATATATATGTATTATTCGATGGCATAGACAACAGTCTCTTCTGTTTTGGCTATTCTATCCTATACTAATTTTCGAAAGACTTATTATCAGTGAGCTAGATCCGGCCTGAAATAGGCTAGACTGGCAACACTGCACGGTTCGGCCCAGCAACAGCTATATTTCTCTCTCTCTCTCTCTCTCTCTCTCTCTCTCTCTCTCTCTCTCTCTCTCTCTCTCTCTCCAACCTAGCAAAATCGCGAGGATACAAAGGTGAGATGGATATATTTTAATAAGCGCGGATAATATTTTTATAAACTTTCATTTTTAGTTTGTATAATTTAATATATTTAAAATTACAAAACTATATAAGCCCACTTTGTCGAATCGCATATGAAATTAGGAAAAGCGCAAAAGGCTTAGACCTTCTTCTTATCTGTGAATTGGTAAATACGTCCCTTTTCCGATTTCCTCATGAGAAGCAGCAGCGGAAAGCCAAACAAGAGCCCCAGCCGCATGCCATAGATTTCCGACTAATTCGTTTACCCTGCTTATGGCGAATTGATAAAAGTGTCCCCCCACAAAATTATATAAAAGGCCAAGAAATTCGATTTAACAGCACAGGAGGGACAAGCAAAAAAGCCGAACCCCTGTCAAACACTATTCAGAGGCGATGCGAGGTTCACTTGCGAGCAAAATATTCAGCGCATTATGACAAATCCGGCTAAAATATGCAAGGGCCGGGCCAATAGCCGCAGGTAGAAATGGCGCACAATAAAAGACACCAATGGACCAGGCCCGGCTGTGCGAGGTCCCCTCGAAAAAAAAAAATTATGCATAAAATGGCTTTGGGAAGGGAAGAAGCAGCCAAAAAAAAAAACAGACTGAACCAAAAAGCAAACAAAGATAAATTCCGGCTGTCTGTATTGGGGTCCGAGACTCTGCTGTCAATGTGCCGCCGGGCCATTAAATGACGGAAGTAAATAAGCTTGACAAATTTCCACTCATCATTTTTGCATTAATTCGGGCTTCTTTAACGCAACAACAACAACAGCAACAACAGCGGAAAAATGGAAAGAAAATGTCCTTTGATTAATCAAAAAATTGTTGGTGGCACTGGCGGGTGGACAAACACAACAAATTACCCAAAGAGGCGCCGTTGGCATGCCGTGTGGCATTTGTGGCAGAGGCGCCAACACACACACACACACGCACACACGCCCTTCGCTTGCGGCTTGCGGCAGCTTTAGAGACGTAAAATCCAACGCTTTGAGAAATATTCAAAAATGAGCGGCACACTCAAAAAAAAGAAGTATATATATGTATATATATGTATATGTATATATTTATCCAGAGTCCACACACACACACAGACAGAGAGAGAGAGCAAGACGCGCCAGATTTTTGCGCGCGATTTGTCAAGCTGACATTTGCGTGACGTTGGCGTCGACTGCGACGCCGACTGCGTGTACTTTTTTCAAATTTTGCTGGTGCCACAAACAAACTTCAACTACAAACAGACGACACGAGCAGCAGGCCGAGTTGATTTAGTAAGTCACGTGGCCACCTAACTGTAAATTGCCATCGCTAGCTCCTGCTGCTGCTGCTCCTCCTCCTCCTCCTGCTGGCTCAGCAGCATCCACAAACCCTGGCACGAGTCCCAGCTCTTGGTGAGGCGTGAAATAAACTGTCGCCTCGTGTATCTTTGTTAGACTGTGTTGTTGTTACCTTTCCCATGCGCTGTTTGCCAAAAAAAAACGAGTATATTCGGACTTGCATATGCCATTCTTTTATCAAGCAATAAGTATTTCTGACTCACGAACTAATCAGTTAACTATTTATCATTTAATGAGCTTCACACTTATATCAAGTAAATTTTGCACAGTGTATCATTCAGTCAGAGCCAAATAATATTTACCCAATTTTTTTCCTGTTTTTCTGTTTTGTTTGGGGCAAGTCTAAAACGTTTTTTGCACCCAATTTCGGGCTGGCGGCAAACAACTGAAAGCAACAAAGACGTTTGGCCCGATAAAAGATAAGCGCAGCCGAGTGACACCGAGCCATGCCCAACCAAGCCACGCTTATCCAACCCAACCGCCTAGCCAGAAGCCATGTGTTTCTGTAATTTAAGTAAAGAAAATGTTTCAAATTAAATGAAAACATGGACAGGTACTTGGCCCCGACATCGACATGTAGATTTTACCAAATGAAACATAAGCAAAGCGCCAAGCTTTACCAGCACCGCAGACAGTTGGCTCCGAGCTCCAAAGATTAGGCAGCCCACAATCTGCAGGGCGAAAAAAAACCCATCCTGGAATTAGGCACAACTGGAAGCCAGCTCAAATGGCCGGCAGAGCTGAGAATTTAAATTATAATTTTTACCTAACGTGCATATATGTATGTATGAGTTCAGATGTGTGACAGGACGTAATAACTAAGCTCTTTCAGAGAGATGCCAAGGATGAGCGCATGACATCGGCTTCAATGAATATGTGAAAAGCATTCGAAAGTTCTCAACCGAAATCTCTCACAATCAAATATACTCTACCCATTGTCGAATATAAAAAGTCATTCTCAATATATAATAATGATATAGTAATAGATTATATTAGGTTAATCTGCTTTTTACTTTTATGCACACAATACTTTAAATACAGCATATATAATATATTTTGTATATAACTTGTGCTTGTATACATATGCATACATATATATTTAGTTCATAAAACGTGACTTTTTGGAATTATGGGATACGTTCTGTTTTATAGCATTAATACTGTATTCTTACAATTAATGAAAAACATGTTTACAATTGATAACTTAAACAAATACAATGAGATACAAATTCAACCTTTGTCGCAATCAGGTTCAGCTCTACAATAAATGAATAACACAATTAACACGTGTTGAATTTGTACTGAAAAAAAAAAAGAATTGTATAAAAAAGTGAGATTCAATGGCCACTATATTTATTACTTCTTTTTTTTTTTTTTTTTTTTGTGATCGCACTTATTGCAGCTTTAAAAAAAAGACCATCTATATTTCAGTTTAAGTTGTAAATAGCGACTCTTAATCATCAAAATGTTAACATTTATTCATGTTACAATTTACGAGTAGAAAGAATGGACATGCTATCATAAATTCATATGTCCGATCAATAACATAATGTGGAACTGTAATGATAACAGCACGCCTTAACAGCATGGTCTCCTGCTATTACAGTAGTGTTGGTGTAAGGCTGTTAGCTGGCTCATCTTCGGGAGAGAGAGAGAGAGAGAGAGACAAATGTAGTTGTTGCTGATCATAGTCCCGAGTGGGGCTGTGTGAGAGTGAGATGACGACTTAGGCTGTTCGGAGAGAGTCAATCAAGTTGTGTGTTGAAAAGTTTTTATTCGGTGAAGGAGGAAGAGCATGCACACAGGGAAATGAGAAATGTGAAATTATTCCGATTAGTCTTCGACATACACATATAAAGAAGAAATTGTCGGTAATATTGATGTGTGAGGGAATTTGTGCATATTCTGTATGAGCAAATAGTGAATATTTGCAATTGACTCGCCTGGCTCGTTGACTCTGCTCAATGCTTGACACAAATCGAAATCGGAATCGAAATTGATGCTGAAAAGTGATAATTAGCAATATTAAGGCTGTGCTAATTGTAGCCAATGCCAGCAGCAGGAGGCGCAATGACAGCACAGAATTTTAGCCAAGAGGAATTCGACTTTTGATGCGCAAACGACGATAAACACATCCGATTAAATGGGCCAAAGCGTTTAATTATAAGTTCACTTAATGTCAAACAGAAAGCCAAAGGCTTTACGGCCAACAGCTCTCGTTAAAGCTGATGTAGAGCGAAAGATAGAGACGGAGCGATTGCGAGAGCGTGATGGCAATATGGGCATAGGCACGCGCTCGATTGCCTTTGGGCCCGGCTATGTGCCATCGTGACGTGGCATTTTGACAGTCAGAAGGCAGAAGGCCGATAGCAACAATATGTCAATGCAATTGCCAATGTCAATGATATGGCCAAAAACAATGCACACAAGAGGGAAAGAGAGAGCAAGAGAAAGAGAGAGAGAGAGAGCGAAAAGTAGAGAGAAAGATAGACAGTTGCTGTGCCAAAAGCCTTCCTTCAATCAGTTTGAAATTCATTGGACTTGGCTTCAGTCGGGGCTTTTCTTTGACGATTGCGTTTTTAATTACAACAAAGCGCAACAGAGAGCCTAAATCTCTGGCCAATTAGCCGCTGAACCGACTGACATGGCACGACAGCAACAGTCAAATGCGTTCAGCTTAGCATTAGCTGCACTCTGTGCGACTAGCAGATACCACTTAATTGTGTCAAAGTCGAACAACTTTACAGAGCTCAAAAATGATTTGTGTTTTAATCTTATTTATGTGAGGTATTTGGCAATTGATTTCCCTGTTTTTTATGTGCCAGACTACCCTATTAGCTGTACGCATTTCTTGCTGGGCAACAAAACAACTAACGGAAATGTTGCGCTTGTTTAAATTGCCATCAACGCGTTGAACGCGTGTCAGCCACAGCGATGCGCCTCGCTGTTTGTGTTGCCCGTGTGGCACGCGACACATTGACTGACAGCCGAGGCTAAAAGTGGAAAATCAATGCAACGTACCATTAACCGCCGTGACTTGACTCATTTCACAGCCAAAACCAGCAAACAAAATAAACCGAATCATCTGCATTTTGGTGCTTCTCTTCAGTTTCAATTGGCTTTTAACGCTTGGTGAGATCAACTGAATTTTAGAGATGATTTGGAATTGGAAAATTAGCAACAACAAAAAATAAATAAAAAATAATAAAAAAAAAAACAGCCCAACTGAAATTGTCGTCTATTAGATATTTGATATGTTATATGATATATGATTAATTAAGAATGCCAAATATTCTGCGATAAATATGTTGTTCATTATATATGTATGTAGTATATGTAGTATTTATAGTATATATATTTTATTTATATAGTATTTCGTATGTCTATAATAATTGCTTTTCAGCTTTAATTCAGCTTCGATTTTAATATTATGTTAAACTATTAACAACCTAGATAAAATATCATAAAACTGACTCCTACGCAGACTAGTTCAAATGAAATTATAATAAATATTAATGTACGACTATATTTCATGTGATGTATATAAAATTAGGTAAATAAAATAAACCTACAATACAAGAGCTATTGCATATGGCTAACCTGTCAAAACTGGCTAACTAGGGTATAATGTTTCTCTAACAAATAGAGAAGGACTTGATCAAATATGATCTAGAAATTTCAACTTTAGCATTCAGTTATCTTAATGTAACATCATTTTTGACTTTCCTGTAACATCAATTAAAATCTATTTCAATTGAGAATTTTTAAGGTCTAGACTCAAAGGCCTTGACATTTAGATGTGCGTGTTCCACTTATTTACTACCTCCCACATTCTTCTATGAAAAATAATATAAAAAACATTTTTGAACTAAATTATAGGCACGTTTTATATTGTGCACCTCAAATCGTTCCATTGTACCTCAAAACGTGCAAACTTCAATAAAATTGTGGAATAATCAACAAAATATCCCATTTCTCATAAGGTCTTGGAATGAGTGAATTGAATGCGCGTGTGCACGTGTGTATTATATACACATATTTATTTATTTCTTTTATTTATTTACAATTTATATTTATGCTTATACTCCACAATGGTTCAAGGTATATCATAGTCGAGCATTGCCTACTCTCTCTCTTTTTTTTTCATTATTCCTTTTTTGAAACAATTTTTTTTATTTGAATTGCGTGTGGCTAACTAACCGTCGAATGTTAAGTGTATTTTACTTTAGTTATTTTAACAACAAACACGTTGAATGCATTTCATGTTGACAGAATGACATGGCGACCGTTAGGCCAAATACCAAATATTTAATTTAAATCAGTGTCACCGGCCATTAAACAATTTCTGTTGGCCAACTCTGTATGCGAAAGTGTTGACCCAGGACTCTGAACTGGCTTTTGGCTCTGGCTCTGGCTCTGACTAAATTGACAACCTATTGCTGTTGTTGTTGTTGTTGTTGTTTAACTGAATGCAAGCGACGCCAAAGTGTCGTATTCGACATTCAATTATTTGTTGTGCTTGATGGAATGACTGACAAAGTGAATGTTTGAAGACCATCATGGACAGCTTGAGCTAAGGAAGTTAGAGCTGGATAGTATCATAGTATCAGTGTATTCACTGTTACTGTGGCAATTCATAAAAAAAGTGCAAAATGTTTTATTTTAAAATTCTAAAAATGTTTATAAGTTTTATAATTTATTTTTAGGTAAAATAATTCCAAAGTGTATATTGTATTCATGCCTGAACACTCACAATTATAAGAAAAATAAGAATGAGTATTTTTTTTTTTTTTTTCATATTGTCTGTATTATATTTATCTCGTATCATAATGAATGGGGTCAACGGAGTTTATAAATAAATATTTACATTTAGCAACTTCACTCGTCAGTCGAAATGTTTTGTTCTTACGATTTCTCTTCATATATATTATACAGAGAAAACGCCTGAATATAGACATAAAATGGAAAAGTTTTAAACCGGAGATATTACACGAGGCACGACCGTAATAGGGCCTGGACATTTTTGGTGATATGAGTATGGATGATTTGCTCTTTCTACATAATTTTATATATCCTAAAGAGAGTAATATTTCAAGTTAAGTAAGGTTGAAATTTGAAGGTTCTATGAATATTTTAAGATAAGATTATTAGTGAAATCTGAGATATGCTATAATACCAAGGAGTCTATAAACGTTACGGAAGCTATGCATTGATATTGGAGGATCGACGACCATATATGCATATATGTATATATATTCAACTGACAGATCTAATTTTATTGGCGGCGACTAAATGTTTTAGCTTCGTGACCGATAAATAGATAAATAATCGATATTTTCATTGGAAAGCTAATCGGCATGTTTTCGGCTACTCAAGACTCTTTAAATCTAGTAATAAAACCCCATTCTAGTTGGTAAGCTCAATATCCAACAATTGATTCTCTTCTTTGCTGTTGTTCGATGATACACTATTCCACGGATTCGTTACCATCTAAATCACTATCCAATTATATTTTAATGCGCAGCTTCCACTACTCCAATTGTACGCACAATCTCCCACATGGGTACCATTTAAGCAATATGTCATAAGGTCGCCAAGATGCTTAACTTGGCTCCTTGCGCTGCTGTTATTTTTATGACAACCCAGGACAAGGACTCTCCAAACTTTTCCC